ACAGTAAATGTATCAATATGCCCTTTTTCAACTTTATCTTCTTCTGGATTACTCAGTAGTTGTATAAAACCACTGACACTTTCCAAAAGACTTTCTAATGCTTCTTCATCTGTTGAACATTCCTAAAATTTATTTAAATCCATTGTCTTTATCTGATATAATTTTATCACCATAATTGAATGTTTTTGATAATAAATAACTGTTTTATATACTGGTACATTTTAAAATCATAATTACAATTTTCAAATTAAAAGAACATTCAAACTTAAAGGTAATGGAATCAAGTTTTGGCCAGAAGAATGCAATTCTTGTTTGCTAAACTGTAGATTTTATCTTATAATAAGTATAAGTATTTTTAAAAATTACCTTCAATGAAGATTTATTATTTATTAAACAAGCTTATAAGTTACAGTAAATTTTGGAAATATCCATCAAAAATAAAACAAGTGATATAAAGATGACTGGTAAAACAACTAAATGCAATTTTGATTGTTAATTCATCTTAACATGTATATCATAATCTTGTATTATTTTTTGTTTAATATTTTATTGAAAAACAATATTAAATTAGAATTTACACTAACCAAAAAAATTAAAATTTTAAAAGGAATTATTTCATTAACTAATATAATAAATTTATTGTTTAGTTTTCATCAAAATATTCAATCTTCTCTATAATATATGTATCTATTAAAATCATGGATAAATCAATACATAGATTTAGCATTAGCTAATTATTGCCAAACAATCTACCAGATTAGATAATCCAGCAGATCAGGCTATATTAAAACTAATAACTAATTAGATATAAATCAATTTGGCTAGAAATAGACAGTTAAGCTGCCATCTCTTAAAAAATTTAATAATTACAATTAAATTAAATTAATTTTAAATTTAGAATATCCAGAAAAAAATCAGTCTTAAGTGGGACTCAAACTTGCAACTTCTGCTTACTGTGCAGATACATTGCCAGTTCTGCTACCCAAACCTCCATCTGATCTTCGCTTCCACAACTATTAATTAATTTAGATATAACCATTCTGGTCACATATGGCACTGACTGGGGACAGCTTAGTATCCATGGCCTCTATGGCTCTCAGCCAACTTACAGTTTAAGCTTGTTGTGTACTGTATATATACTACCTGACATTTTTATATCAGGGTTAAAGCATAAGTTGGCTGACAGCCACAGAAGGCCATGGGTGCTAAGCCATATCTAAATGGCACTGTAAGTGACTGGTATAGTTATATCTGAATTCATTAATGGTTTCAGAAGTGAAGATTTGATAGAGGTTAGAGCACTGGTAACTGGCAATGCATCTGCATGGTAAGCAGGCATTATAGGTGTGAGTGCCATTACAGGATAATTCTTTTCTTTCAGAATATTCTAAATTTACAATGAATTTATATTAATTTAATTTTAATTATTAAACTTATCAAGAAATGGCAGCATAATTGTTTACCATTACCCAAATTGATTCAAATCTAATTATTGATAGTTATTAACCTTACTATAGCCCGATAGATATTCTAGCAGATCATTTGGTAATATGAATATACCAGGTAGTTTACTGTGTACTGTACAGTACATATCTAGCTAATTATAATTTTATCACTATTTATTCAATTTATAATGTAAAATTAAATTACATTATTTTCAATACAAATTTGTTTCTATTTGTATAATACTGGTTAACTCCATTTATATGTATTTACTGAATTTTAATAATTAATTAATTATCTAAATATAAAAATAAATCTGGTTAAGCACCGAAAACATATGAATGTAAAACAAGAGTGAGAGATGACTTGGGCACACAACAGATTGAGTTTATGCTTCAAGTGGATTTATTCACTATGTGCACAGTTTGAACTTTGAAGCATCATTTGAACTCCAAAGCAAATTTTTGTTGAATTAAGCACTCAAACTCTGAAGCATTCAAAGTACAAGGTACCACTGTATAAAATATATATATATATAAACTTGAGATGTATTGTGTAAAAATATATTAATACATTCACACAAAATGCATATCAAGTTTTGTGTTAAGTTTAAACTTAATGCCAAAAGTAATTCTATGTAATGTTTCCATTCAAGGCAAGTTCTGTATCATTTTTTTTTACTTTGAAAGAAAGAAATGCTTCTTCAAAAGAATAAATAAAATCAGTTTTCAGCTTATACCTTCAATAACAAAAATAGTAATATAAATCGGATTTCTATTAGCAGGATCTATTCTCAATATTTGACATCAACCTTGAAATTTTAAAGTTGAGCAGAATAAATGCAGCAAAGAATGGTTTAATTCCTAAGAGTATCACACTAAGGTGGCTCCACACATTTGGTATTTGCCGAATAACAAGCAGACCTTTGACCAACACTGAATAGTGTGGATGATTTACTCACGAATTTGCTTAACAATTATTCAGTATTTGCTGTCTCCCACACTTTGTTGGTATATTGTGCTGAATCAAATCAAGGGGATGAATCTTGACCAAACATTCATAATTCCACATCAAAACCAATTCTTGGCAAATAAGCATAAGTGTGTACATATGTGTTTGCCTTGTGACAAACACTTCTGCAAATTCTTTGGCAAAAAGCAATTATTTGGCAATCAGTAAATGCTGAATGTGTGGCATCACCTTTATATGTATTACTTTGCCTAAACTACTAAATCCTCTTAAGTATTCAATTATGTGTTTCTTTGCAACTTTAGTTTTAATTTAGAAAGAATGTACAAAGGACAAATTTTTATATTCTCTATAAAATAAGATACAAGAATTGAAATATAAATTATAAATGTTGCTATTCACTAAATTTAAATCTTATATTAACAATCAATGCCTATAAAATTAAATTGATCTTCAAAAAGTTGGGTAATAATATAATTATATTTAACATTATTATAAATTAGTAAGGATTAGATTATAATTATATTCATTATTACACATTATTTATAGAATACAAATCCATTATCAACATCCTAAATCTACAATCCAGAAAAACTGCACAAGTAGAAAATCAAATTCAAAAGAAAAATGTTTAGAATATTCAATGAACATAAAATAAGGTACAAAAAATAATTAAATTGAATGAAACTAACTTTAAATTCCATCATTTGTTCACATAATGAAATGTAAAATACGTATGGATCATTGTTTCATTGGGAGAACAAAATGTAACCCTTAAGTGAGTTAAAACAGTAAATGTATCAATATGCATTTGAATGTAGATTTGGAGAAAAGTGCCAAGAATTGCAAAATTCTTCAGACTCATAATCAAAATAAGTAGTAATTAAAAAAGTTTAGTATGATAGAACTTCAGAATTATAAAAAATTTTTAATTTCAACTTTAACCTATCCCATGTTGAAATTTTTCTTCGTTGCATGTGGCCGCCATGTTAAATTTTTGTCAATGTTAAGCCTAACAAAAAAATTTGATTTTTTAAATAATAATTGTGACTACTGTATCGTTAAAAATTATTTTTTTATTTTGCACAAACAAAATAAATATATTGAAAAATATAAAAACAAAAAAAAAATTATATTTTGAAAGTTCGTTTTAATATAAAAATTATGATGCATAGTGACATCCAGTATCAAAAATGTTCTGATGCAGAGACAAATATATTTGAGATCGCCAGGGCAGGTCAAATGAGGTCAAGATAAAAATATTCAGGAACAACACGGGACAGGTTAATATATTTTTAATAAATAAGAAACAATGAAATACATTACAGTTGAAATTTGAAATTTTTTATAATTCTCAAGTTCTGTCACACTGAACAGTCATTAACTCATATATTATTATTTTCATTTTCTATTCATAAAAATTTTTCAAAAATTATGTTATAAGCATGAATTGCACATAATTTCAAAAATCATTTAAAAATTGAATTCTAATATTTATCCCTGATAAAATAAAAACTAATGTACTATGTTAAAAATCATAATTACCGTTAAAAGGCGTTCTAGTTCAAATAACGGATGCGATTGTTTTTCAGATGAATTATTATTTGTGTTTTGCTCAAATTTATACCAGTCAAGAATTTTGCGTAACTCTGATGTTGAAAGAACCAAAGTTCGAGCAGGAACCGGTTGAGATGTTTCTTCATATCCATGAACCATAAGTCTTAAAAATTCTAAAGTTGTTGACAAAGTTGATAAACAATCTGAGCTATCTTTGCTGAAGGTGGTACTCAAACGTGCAAATAAAGATCGAAGTGTTGATGGATGTTGAATTAAAGCTCTAAAAAAATAAATAAATACAGTAAATAAATTACACATATTTACAATCACATTATAAAAATTTGTAATATTCTGCTTACTGTTTCACATAAAAAAATCCAAAATCATGTTCTGTGAGCATAACTAATGTTCTTAATGATGGCAAAACTGATGCAAACGTATGCTGATGATTGCCAATATGTTGTATCAATGCTCCACTAATTTCAGATATATGTTCCTTAGGTGGAAGAGAATTTGCCAACTATCCAAACACAATTTTAAAATTAAATAACATCAATTTTTTGAAAAAATTATTAAAAAACAAAGTAATAGAAACAGACCACTTCACTAACAGAAGCACCTCCTTCCAATGTAACAAAACCTATATCTGGATCACAAAGTGATTGAAGTATTGACTAGAATAATAAAAATAAATAAATAAATTCATAATAATTTTACAAAGTTTTTTTTAATTAAGTATCAATGTCATTTTACCACAATGCATTCTTGAGAATTTATATGAGATTGCTTGCTCGATACAAAATTTAAATGATCGAGAATCATGTTCAAAATTTCTGAATACTTTTCATCTGTCTTGACACTAAAAAATTTTAGAAATTTATCTATCTATAAATAGGATAAAAGTTTCTATATTATTCAAACACTTGAAAAATAACAATATCACAAGCTACAAGCTAATAGCAAGGTTGTGGCCAAAGTTTTCAATGTGAAAACGTGTACATCGGATGCTTAGTGCCACCTTCCTGTAAGCTTAGAAGTTTTGACAATGGCATTTGAAATGTCGAGCATGATTTCACTGATGTTCTGCAACCTTGCTATTTTTTGTATTCCTGTGAACTTCAGCATCCTTTTTATTTCTTATAACAATGACTATAAATATCAATAATTTCATGATTTTGTACTGTGTATTTAAAGGGACCAAATGGCAATAATCTGCCAATCAGTTACTTTATTATTTTATTTTATTTATTTTTAAATTTTTGCTTTTAAGAAGTATCTAATCTTAATTATGTTACTAATATTAAGATTAATTTTAACCAAATTTATTAACTTTTGCTTATGACAAAAATAAACATAATAAATGGTATTAATCTGTTTTTGTTCAAATTTGTTGTTAATAACTACTTAAAAAATTTATCAAAAAAATAAATAAATAAATAAATTGCAATAATGTGATACAAATGATAGCTAAATTGAATTGCACTTTTCATATAACATTCAAAATAATTATTATATAATAAAGAGGAAGAATTCTAAACTTTATTAAATATTGTATTGTCACAGAACTTGACTATAAAAAAGTTAATGAATTTTCCAAATTTAAAACTGTACTTAAATAAGAAAATTTGAATCTAAAGCAATTGATATTTTGATTACATTTGATATGATGAATATAATATTACAATAACAACAAAATTTCTATATGAAAGCTGAAAGTTCAAAACAAATATTTTAGGCCTTTATAGTTTTTTAATAAATATTATTTACCTTCCTCTTAAAATATTTATTAATGGAATTTTGAATGGTGCATGTGATACCAAGTATGCAATTAAATTCAAAATGCGAGCAATAGCTGTTGAACATGGTTTTACTTCCCACTGCAATGACATTCCCTGGGCTTCAGCTTTTTCCTCTGTAATCATATTTGGAACAAAACTATCCAATAAAGCATCCAAAACAGCTCTGAAAAATTAGATTAAAAAAGTTTATCAGATTTTTTAAAATTTAAAATTTAAGTTAAAGTGACATAATTACCTAACAACCACCACTGCTGTCGGTGTAGCAAGATCAGACAACTGAACACAAACTCTTCGTAGTAATTGTTGCAAAGGATGACAACTAGAAGCTAAAAATAAAATTGAACATTCAGTGTTAATAATACTTCAGTTAAAGCAATCAAATATAAATATAAAAATAAATTTAACAGCTCTTTAGAAACTTCACTAAGATAATTATAAGTAAAAATATCTATGTAATATACGATATAAATTATATATTTTTAAAACAAAATTATTCTGTATTCTGCATATGATGATTCTTATATTTAAACATACTCTAATTAGAACTGACAAAATAAATGTCAACTTATGAAGTTCCTCCATAATAATTGTAAAAAGACACTTTACACCAATAATCATATAAAATAATTAACACAACAGTATAGTGACATTAAAATCATGATTTCTTCCAAATGATTAATAAACTTTTAACTAACAAATTGTGAAAAATATCCATATGAATGATTTTCTATATTTTCATTGTGCCAAAAAACTCACAATAGCATTAGAACCATTTATTCAAAAATTCACTGTGTGTGTCAGCTTACATCCTCATCAGACTAACAAAAAACAAGTAAAATGGCAAAACCGTATTTGGGACAAGACTATATCTTGGAGACAGAATCACTTTGATGCTCAAGGCAGGTCTCATTCTCATTCTCCTATCTTCTTTGATATTGCTGCTTTTGGGCGCGATCGTTCAAACTTTATCAGCCACGACCACAAGATCTTCCATGACGCATCTTCGATGAAATTAACTTATCTAATTTCAAAATTTCTCTCAGCTGCGTGTTGGGCCAGGTTGAATTTCTGTTGATGCATAACAAAAAGTTCCCCCTTTTGAAAAAAATAATTGTGGCTATTGTATCGTCTGAAATTATTTTTTTTTATTTTGCGCAAATAATGTACAGTTTAACCCAATTATAATGTCATCAAATGTAATGACAACCCTAATATAATGTCAAATTTTTATCGGTCCTATGATTTTACTATACTAGATAATGTTAAAAAAAACCACTTGTAACGACATAAAACCGTTTTAACGTCATATTTGAAGCACTCCCAAATTTACAAAATTAGATTACAAATTTTATTTAACCTAGAAGAAACTATGTGTTCGGTCCTAAGGTCAGAGTTCACTTCTTAGAATGACTGTGGGTCATTCTCTCCCCTACCTGACTTTGGTGGGGTGAGGTGGCTGTTTTGCTGTTTGTAGAAGAGAATTGCCATTTTGTATTTTATTTTGACTTGATTCTTGGTCCCCCGACTACCTACGACTCTGGATTTTTTTATGCGCAAATGATTTGGGCACCTAATACTCTGTACCAATATCAACTCTCAACATGTACTCTTTCATACCTGTATGCTGGTAAGAAAATCAGGCAGTACGATTTTATAAACAAGACATAGTCTTGTCAATTATTATATATTATATTAAATATTATTAAGTTATATATAAATATAAATGTAAGTTATATATTAAAATATTAATATTTATTAATACTAGGTAGCCAGTTAATTAAAACTAAAAATAAAATCAAAAATCATTTCAGAAAGTGTGGATAAAGTGCTTGTCTGTTTTGATTGATTTGGTT